TATATGTTGCCTATATTGTTTTACGTTGCCTATATGGGTATCTGCCATTACTGGTTTGGAATCAAGAGAAAATGTCTGTTCTCTCCCCCAGTGTTCTCTACAGCGACATCGCAGGCCCCTGGCGGTGCTCCAGGTATGTCTTCTAAACGTCTCCATTTGTAATATCTCTACTGAATGTATCATCAAATATCTCCACTCACTATATAATTAAATATTTTTAGTTACCCCATAATCAAACACATTGACTCACAATAACACTCACTGTATTGTTTCATGCAGAGACGACCCTCTCTCTATCATTTAATGCATTTCCCATATACACCCACTCTATCCGCAACTGAATTCACAATATTCACTCACTTGACGGTGGAATAGATTCGCCTACTTCACAAAGAAACATTCACACACGAACTTCTCCGCCAGACTTGGTCGCTGCAACAGATTCTCCACGAAGCCTCGTTTGATGTGTCGCCTTGACCTCTCTCCTTGTGACCCTCCAGGGATGACGTCCGCACAGACTTCTGGGTAGATCGTCTCAGCCAGCAGACAGTGCAGATAGAATCTATATTTTAGTAAACATTATGGGATAGATTGGTCGGACATACACTAGTACAATTAGCAGAAAGATTGGTCGGACAGACACTAGTGCAATTAGCAGAAAGATTGGTCGGACAGACACTAATGGGATTAGCAGAAAGATTGGTCGGACAGACACTAATGGGATTAGCAGAAAGATTGGTCGGACAAACACTAGTGCAATTAGCAGAAAGATTATTTGATGTAGAAGAAATGATGAGGACAACATCTAAGTGCCGATCTTCTCGTGTCCGCCCAGATACCCGGCAGGTGCTGCTGAACATGCTGAAGAACATCATGAACAACGCAGGTAAGCCTTGAGGCCCGCTGCAGCAGAAAGGTTGGTCCAGCCAGGTTAGATCAGGTCCACCATAGATGTAAGGATAGGAATACTCTCAACAGAAGCTCGAGATATCAAACATCTTAGGAGACTTGTAGCAGATGTATGTATTGAATTACAGCCATGTTTATATCCCAGCCTTCCGCAAACTGCAGTTCAAACCAAACACTGAACAACTGCCAGCAGATCTTCGCTAACTACACCAGCATCAAATATTGGCCGCCCTTTTGGTTTCCACGAACTGATGTCACATCACATAAAGATACCATACAGTCTTCATCACCATCATTGTCGTGACCATCATCGTCGTCACCATCATCGTCGTCATCATCACCGTCGTCACCATCACCGTCGTCATCATCATCGTCGTCACCATCATCGTCGTGGTCACCATTATCATCGTCTTCATCACCATCATCGTCATCGTCTTCATCACCATCACCGTCGTCATCACCATCATCGTCGTCATCACCATCATCTTCGTCATCACCATCATCGTCGTGGTCACCATTATCATGGTCTTCATCACCATCACCGTCTTCATCACCATCACCGTCTTCATCACCATCACCGTCGTCACCATCACCGTCGTCATCACCATCACCGTCTTCATCATCATCACCGTCGTCACCATCACTGTCGTCACCATCACCGTCGTCATCACCATCACCGTCTTCATCATCATCACCGTCGTCATCACCATCACCGTCTTCATCATCATCACCGTCGTCATCACCATCACCGTCTTCATCATCATCACCGTCGTCATCACCGTCTTCATCATTATCACCGTCGTCACCATCACTGTCGTCACCATCACCGTCGTCATCATCATCACCGTCGTCACCATCATCACCGTCGTCACCATTATCACTGTCGTCACCATCATCACTGTCGTCACCATCATCACTGTCGTCACCATCACCGTCGTCATCATCATCACTGTCGTCATCATCACCGTCGTCATCATCATCACCGTCGTTATCACCATCACCGTCTTCATCATCATCACCGTCGTCATAACCATCACCGTCTTCATCATCATCACCGCCGTCACCATCACTGTCGTCACCATCACCGTCGTCATCATCATCACCGTCGTCACCATCATCACCGTGGTCACCATCATCACTGTCGTCACCATCATCACCGTCGTCACCATCATCACTGTTGTCACCATCATCACCGTCGTCACCATCATCACTGTCGTCACCATCACCGTCGTCATCATCATCACCGTCGTCACCATCATCGTCGTCATCACCATCATCTTCGTCATCACCATCATCGTCGTGGTCACCATTATTATGGTCTTCATCACCATCACCGTCGTCGTCACCATCACCGTCGTCACCATCACCGTCTTCATCATCATCACCGTCGTCACCATCACCGTCGTCACCATCACCGTCGTCACCATCATCGTCGTGGTCACCATTATCATGGTCTTCATCATCATTACCGTCGTCACCATCACCGTCGTCACCATCATTACCGTCGTCACCATCATCACCGTCGTCATCATCATCACCGTCGTCACCATCATCACCGTCGTCACCATCACCGTCGTCATCATCATCACCGTCGTCATCATCATCACCGTCGTCACCATCACCGTCGTCATCATCATCACCGTCGTCACCATCATCGTCGTCACCATCACCGTCGTCACCATCATCGTCGTCATCATCATCGTCGTCATCATCATCACCGTCGTCACCATCATCGTCGTCACCATCACCGTCGTGGTCACCATTATCATGGTCTTCATCATCATCACCGTCGTCACCATCATCGTCGTGGTCACCATTATCATGGTCTTCATCATCATCACCGTCGTCATCATCATCACCGTCGTCACCATCACCGTCGTCATCATCATCACCGTCGTCATCATCATCACCGTCGTCATCATCATCACCGTCGTCACCATCATCGTCGTCACCATCACCGTCGTCACCATCATCACCGTCGTCACCATCACCGTCGTCACCATCATCGTCGTGGTCACCATTATCATAGTCGTAATTCTGTCATGCTGTGACATGTACCACAAAGTTCACGGGGTCATCCTCCATTCTAGTCCATGCTATACAATCCTGTCGATATCATGTGTAGAATCGAGTCCAACCTTTGACCTCTCTTAACAATGTGCGTCTGAGAGTTTGTCTTGGACGTCCTCGTCTTATAAATCTACGCCTTCCCCATCTACAAGTGGGCAACAACGGATGCCAGATCACCATAGCATTGTCTCCATCGCATAAAGACAAAGCTGGTAATGAAATAGCGGACACTTCTACAAGAAACAGGTACCAGCAGTCATAATATAACAGAAACAGGCCTAGGAAATACTTGGGGGAAGAGTCAAATGAAACGGTATATGACAGGAATGTGCAAGAGACGATGGGAAATGTGTGTTACTAGCAGAAGGGCAGGCAAATATTTGAGAGACCCCGCCATGACATCCCAAGTCTCAGACAAACTAAAAATTGCAGCAAATGACAAATTGATTTAAAACTTGGATACTGGAAAGCCAAATTTATAGCACCCGTCTTCCAGGACAACACAACAGACCACTTCTTGCTTTCATGACTCTGTATAAACACGAAAAAAAAAACCTTATAGACTATTTTCAAAAACTAAATAAGCCATTGACATCCGAGGAATGCCTACATCTTGATAGCAATGGGAACATACAGAAACTAATTAAGAAATTAATTTGCAGAACACGGAAAACCATATGACTGTATAAATAAAGATATGATAAGACAGAGACAACGAGGTGAGAAAAGGGAATTGAAGAGGATAAGAAATTAAAGAGAAAGAATTAAATTGTGTGAACCAGTCTAAACTAGCTAAGACCGCCTAACTATCCCCGTATAGTACTGGATACTGAGAAAGTGTCACACATACAAACTAAAACACCTAAACTGGTAACCAAGGTGTAAACAATACGACATGGCCACAACTACAAAGGGTAAATCATTTACAACACTAGTATCCATTTAAGGCTGGCTCGACCTTTAAACTAAGGTCATTTTTGAAAAAAAGTCTGGATCCATGGGAATCTGAACCCTTTGCCTTGCGATCCACAGGCGAGCGATTGTCGGCTACACCACCACGGCGGTATCATTGAATGTATGTGTGTATATATGTATACATGTGTGTGTGTAATATACATCATGTGTATGTGTACATATACATGTGTATATGTGTATATATACATGTGTGTGTTTACATATACATGAGTGTGTGTAAATATACATGTGAATGTGTGAATATACATCTGTGTGTACATATACATGTGTGTATGCAAAAACGTATGCTTGCATTCCCACGCGTACGTGCACTCGTATTTACGTGTAATTGTACATGTATGTCTATTTATGTGTCTCGTATATCTTAGTGAGTATATATATTTTTAAATCAATGTTTGTGTGTTCGTTTATAGCCTATAGACTCGGAAACTACTGTGACCCTTAATGTTTAAAAAAAAAAATTGTTGCACACTATCTCTAACAATGACAGGTTGAATTTCAAACCATGACGGGTGAACATCCAGTATCAAAACAAACATATCCTGAAAATTTCAGCTAAATCGGTTCAGTAGTTTCCGTGTCTATAGGCTATAAACATACACACAAACATTGATTTATATATATATGTGTACCAGCGCCACCCCCCCCCCCACCCCACAACTATTACTAGATACTAGAGTATTAGTCCATGACACTGGTTTTGGCGCAACTATAATTTCCTAGTCAGCTTATTTGGAACCATAAGAAACCAGACCACAGTTATAGCCGATAATGCTCCTAGAAATTTAAAGATGGTCTTTTTTTTAAAATCATAAATAGACATACAGGCGGACAAATCTGTTTAGTGATTGTCTGCTGGCTGCGTCTATGGGTGTGCTCAATAGAGTTTCATCTTCTGATATCTGTTGATATCAAAAGCCTGAAGTAGAGCTACAGCAACTAGGTTGACATCCAACACTGACTACTGTGTAGACTGGCACAACATGTACGACCTTTAACCAATGACCTTATAGACTGTGACCTGTATTGTACCTTGTTCTCCCCAGCTGCTTCCAACTTCAGACCGGACATCAGGCCGCCACCGATGCCAGTGAACCCAGGAAACGCATGTGAGAGAAGACAGTTGTCCCATGATGTTACTGGCAGTTGTCTCATGATGTTACCGACAGTTGTCCCAGGATGTTACTGACAGTTGTCCCATGATGTTACTGACAGTTGTCCCATGATGTTACTGAAAGTTGTCTTATGATGTTACTGACAGTTGTCCCATGATGTTACTGACAGTTGTCCCATGATGTTACTGACAGTTGTCTCATGATGTTACTGACAGTTGTCTCATGATGTTACTGTCAGTTGTCCCACGATGTTACTGACAGTTGTCCCAGGATGTTACTGACAGTTGTCCCATGATGTTACTGATAGTTGTCCCATGATGTTACTGGCAGTTGTCCCATGATGTTACTGGCAGTTGTCCCAGGATGTTACTGGCAGTTGTCCCATGATGTTACTGAAAGTTGTCTTATGATGTTACTGACAGTTGTCTCATGATGTTACTGACAGTTGTCCCAGGATGTTACTGACAGTTGTCCCATGATGTTACTGACAGTTGTCCCATGATGTTACTGACAGTTGTCCCATGATGTTACTGACAGTTGTCCCATGATGTTACTGACAGTTGTCCCATGATGTTACTGACAGTTGTCCCATGATGTTACTGACAGTTGTCCCATGATGTTACTGACAGATGTCCCATGATGTTACTGATAGTTGTCCCATGATGCTACTGACAGTTGTCCCATGATGTTACTGACAGTTGTCCCATGATGTTACTGGTAGTTGTCCCAGGATGTTACTGACAGTTGTCCCATGATGTTACTGAAAGTTGTCTTATGATGTTACTGAAAGTTGTCTTATGATGTTACTGACAGTTGTCCTACGATGTTACTGACATTTGTCCCATGATGTTACTGACAGTTGTCTCATGATGTTACTGACAGTTGTCCCAGGATGTTACTGGCAGTTGTCTCATGATGTTACTGGCAGTTGTCCCATGATGTTACAGACAGTTGTCCCATGATGTTACTGACAGTTGTCTTATGATGTTACTGACAGTTGTCTCATGATGTTACTGACAGTTGTCCCATGATGTTACTGGCAGTTGTCCCAGGATGTTACTGACAGTTGTCCCATGATGTTACTGAAAGTTGTCTTATGATGTTACTGACAGTTGTCTCATGATGTTACTGACAGTTGTCCCACGATGTTACTGACAGTTGTCTTATGATGTTACTGACAGCTGTCCCATGATGTTACTGACAGTTGTCCCATGATGTTACTGACAGTTGTCTCAGAATGTTACTGACAGTTGTCCCATAATGTTACTGACAGTTGTCTCAGAATGTTACTGACAGTTGTCTCATGATGTTACTGACAGTTGTCTCAGAATGTTACTGACAGTTGTCTCATGATGTTACTGACAGTTGTCCCAGGATGTTACTGACAGTTGTCTTATGATGTTACTGACAGTTGTCCCATGATGTTACTGACAGTTGTCCCAGGATGTTACTGGCAGTTGTCCCAGGATGTTACTGACAGTTGCCCCATGATGTTACTGACAAGTGTCCCATGATGTTACTGTCAGTTGTCCCATGATGTTACTGACAAGTGTCTCATAATGTTACTGGCAGTTGCATACACGGACAAACTGCATTTGTGTTTCCCATCTCATGAACCAAAAAACTCCGTGGCTCTATGACTGCATTGAAGACAGAACGATTGACGCCTCCCTATTTGACATTTTTAGGCTGTTTTGCTATGTAGGTCACCTGGCAGCTCTTTTGAAGCCCGGTCATAGGTCAGCTGCTGGTCAAAGGTAGGCTAGGGTGGTTTGAGGTCAACTGGCGGCTGGAATGAGGTCATTGCTGAGACAGAGTTGTATACTACCATAATCACAGCTCATCAGCTGACAACCGACACGGCAACATACCTTGGCATGATCGCATGTCGGCATGGAACCTGATGATAATGCTGCCGTTGTTTGATCATGAACCACCACCCGAGCTCCAGCTGACACCCTATACATAGAAGAGATTCGGAGATTACCAAACGGGTTTCCGACAGAACAGATCAACAATAGATCAGATATTTATTTTATGGCGAATATTAGAGCAAAATTGGCAATATGGAAGATACATACATAATGTTTGTGTAGATTTTTAAAAGTCGTATGGTAATGTAGATAGAAACAGTTTATGGAATGCTATGAAGGACTTTGGAATACCAAAGAAGTTAATTACCATGACCAAACTGTGTATGGAAGACACCTACAATATTGTAACATACAAACGCAGAAAGTCAGACCCTTTTCAAATAACATCTGGTTTAAATCAAGGTGATGCTCAGTCCCCACTTCTGTTCAACTTGACCCAGGAGAAAATTAGAAGTAAATTGAAACCAGAGTGTACTATGGGAGAATATACAAGAATACTGGGTTATGCAGATGCCATTGGGATGAGTGGCAGGTGATATCTGCAGCAAGGAACCTCAAGGGCTCGGAATGCTGACGAAGAAGAAGAAATTTTAGTATATATAACACATAAATTTTCTATTTCCCTCAACGAAGCGAATCAATAATACCAATATCTTCATTTATTGTACAAACAGCTTACACAAGGCTAGTTTCATATTGCTCTATTTTATAACTTTTATTTATTTATACTTTAAAGCATATACTTTCAACCCCCCCCCCCTCCCCCTCCCGGGCCAGCCGCCCAGCTTATCGCCACCCCTGAAACCCTCATATTCTCCACACTATCTGCCACAGCACGAGGTCCCGAGCCTCAACCGAGCCGCCAGGTGACCTTCGACCACCCTAGCCTCCCTTTGACCAGCAGCTGACCTCTGACCGAGCCTCAGCCGAGCCGCCAGGTGACCTCAAACCTCCCCTTGTTCCGCAGCTGACCTATGACCCAGCCTCAACCTAGCCGACAGGTGACCTAGACAGAAAAAGACCCCAAATAAATGGCAAATCGGATGCGTAATGTTGCCTAAATCGTGTGGGTTTTTTTAAAAAAATAGATAAAGTCATGGAGCCGCGAAGTTTTTAAATCTTGAGATGAACTGTGCCACTTTTAGCGAATGTTATATCATAAAAATGGCAAAAATAATCTGCCTTTTGTCGGTGTATACTGCTGCAGTGGTTATAGTTTTTTTAAATTCTACTCCTTTGCTTACAATCTATTGTGTCTTATTTTCTCAAAGTCACAGCCGCCATGTTGCCTGTGTTTCAATCAAGACATAGGTCATCACTGGACTAATGCGTCCACCAACGGGAACGTTGACAGAAACTTTGCAGATCATCAAAGGGATCATGTTTAAGAGCTCAGACGACCAGATCGATGATGTTTGAGAGCTCAGAAAAACAGATGACCAGATCGATGATGTTTGAAAACTCAGACAAACAGACGACCAGATCGATGATGTTTGAGAGCTCAGATGACCAGATCGATGATGTTTGAGAGCTCAGACAAACAGACGACCAGATCGATGACGTTTGAGAGCTCAGACAAACAGATGACCAGATCGATGATGTTTGAGAGCTAAGACAAAAAAATGACCAGATCGATGATATTTTTGATCTTAGACGAACAGATCGATGATATTTTAGAGCTCAGACGACCAGGTCGATGATGTTTGAGAGCTCAGACAAACAGACGACCAGATCAATGATGTTTGTGAGCTCAGACAAACAGGCGAACAGATCGATGATATTTTAGAGCTCAGACGACCAGATCGATGATGTTTGAGAGCTCAGACAAGCAGACCAGATCGATGATGTTTGAGAGCTCAGACAAACAGACGACCATATCGATGATGTTTGAGAGCTCAGACAAACAGACGACCAGATCGATAATGTTTGAGAGCTCAGACAAACAGACGACCAGATCGATGATTTTTGAGAGCTCAGACAAACAGAAGACCAGATAGATGATGTTTGAGAGCTCAGACAAACAGACGATCAGATCGATGATGTTTGAGAGCTCAGACAAACAGACGACCAGATCGATTATGTTTGAGAGCTCAGACAAACAGACGACCAGATCGATGATGTTTGAGAGCTCAGAAAAACAGACGATCAGATCGATGATGTTTGTGAGGTCGGACGACCAGATCGATGATGTTTGTTAGGTCAGACGACCAGATCGATGATGTTTGTGAGGTCAGACGACCAGATCGTTGATGATTGAAAGCTCAGACGACCAGATCGTTGATGATTGAAAGCTCAGATGACCAGATCGTTGATGATTGAAAGCTCAGACGACCAGATCGTTGATGATTGAAAGCTCAGACGACCAGATCGTTGAGGATTGAAAGCTCAGACGACCAGATCGATGATGTTTGTGAGGTCAGACGACCAGATCGATGATGTTTGAGAGCTCAGACAGACGACCAGATCGATGATGTTTGTGAGGTCAGACGACCAGATCGTTGATGATTGAAAGCTCAGACGACCAGATCGATGATGTTTGTGAGGTCAGACGACCAGATCGATGATGTTTGAGAGCTCAGACAGACGACCAGATCGATGATGTTTGTGAGGTCAGACGACCAGATCGTTGATGATTGAAAGCTCAGACGACCAGATCGATGATGTTTGTGAGGTCAGACGACCAGATCGATGATGTTTGTGAGGTCAGACGACCAGATCGATGATGTTTGTGAGGTCAGACGACCAGATCGTTGATGATTGAAAGCTCAGATGACCAGATCGATGATGTTTGAGAGCTCAGTCGACCACCTGCAGCATAGCCAATGCTGTGAGGAACTGCTGCTGGGTTGTCGACATGTGTGGCTAGAGATGGGGAGGGGATTTCTTCCTCAGCGTCTGTATGTAATACTTGATTAGAACAATAAATAATTGTCTGCCTGATACCCCCCAGTGGAGCATAAGCGCTCAACCAACTCACGTCCTACTATGGCGCTATCAAACTGGTTAGAACAACTGGATAGTGGACAGGGGGCTATCAAACTGGTTAGATGAAGCGGATATATGATCTAGGGTTGTTAAACTGGTTAGATGAAGCGAATACATGATCTAGGGTTGTTAAACTGGTTAAATGAAGCGGATATATGATCTAGGGTTGTTAAACTGGTTAGATGAAGCGGATATATGATCTAGGGTTGTTAAACTGGTTAAATGAAGCAGATATATGATCTAGGGTTGTTAAACTGGTTAAATGATGCGGATATATGATCTAGGGTTGTTAAACTATTTAGATGTAGCGGATAGAGGATATAGGGTTGTTAAACTAGTTAGATGTAGTGGATAGAGGATATTGGGTTGTTAAACTAGTTAGATGTAGTGGTCAGAGGACATATGGTTATCAAACCGGCTAGAGCAATTTAAGAGAGGATATAACAAAGGCATTGAGCAGGAATGTTAAAAGAAAAGCATAGCACAATGATCCACAGCACGGAATGTGTTTATGTCCCTAGTATATGGGTGTGTGTGTTGTGGGTGTATATATATATATATATACTATATATATATATATATATATATATATATATATATATATATATATATATATATATATATATATATGTGTGTGTGTGTGTGTGTGTGTGTGTGTGTGTGTGTGTGTGTGTGTGTGAGAGTGTGTGTGTGTGTGTTTTTGTGTGTGTGAGTGTGTGTGTGTGTGTGAGTGTGTGTTCAACAGATGCAACCATAGAGACTGTGTGGTGGTGTGGAGGAGCAAGGATCAAAGTTAACGGTTGAGTGCTCTCAGATTTGACACACTACATTGTTGACCTGTTGCTTTCTGTTTCAGTCCTGCCCCCTCCACTCCCAGTGGCTCCCCCGGGACCCCCACGTCCGCCTACACCCAACGACGGTCTCTTCATGGATCTACCCAGTAAGTGTCAACATGTCTACACACACACACACACACGGTCTCTTCATGGACCTACCCAGAAAGTGTCAACATCACACACACACACACACACACACACATGCACGCACACACACACACGGTCTCTTCATGGACCTACCCAGTAAGTGTCAACATATCTACACACACACACACACGCAAACGGTCTCTTCATGGATCTACCCAGTAAGTGTCAACATCTTTACACACACACACACACACACACACGGTCTCTTCATGAATCTACCGAGTAAGTGACAACATCTCTACACACACATACACATATACACACACGATCACTTTATGTATCTACCCAGGAAGTGTCAACATCTCTACACCACACAGACAGACACACACACACACACGGTCTCTTCATGGAACTACCCAGTAAGTGTCAACATCTCTACACACACACACACACACACACACGGTCTCTTCATGGAACTACCCAATAAGTGTCAACATCTCTACACACACACACATACACACACACACACACACACACGGTCTCTTCATGGACCTACCTAGTAAGTGTCAACACCACACACACAGTCTCTTCATGGATCTACCCAGTAAGTGTCAACATTTCTACACCACACACACAATACACACACACGCACGAACACACACATGCACACACACACACACACACACGGTCTCTTCATGGACCTACCAGTAAGTGTCAACGCCACTACGTCACACACATACACACACATACACACACATACACACAGGTTTCATACAGAATATACACACATTCACATAAATAGAGAGAAAGAAGAAGTTGGCGAGAGACACAGACACATAGAAACACAGAGAGAGAGAGAGAGAGAGAGAGAGAGTCAGATAAATAGAGAAAATAGAGACACAGTCAGAGATAGAGAGAAAGAATGCGAGAAATAGCCAGAAAGAAGCTGATGTATATGTGTGAGTTTTTGTGTTTTTCTCTGCCTCTCCCCCACAGTTTATAGTTTACTGGTTGGTTCAGGTTTTTTTTTTCAATTTCCCCATTTGCCCCCCCCCCCCACCCCCCCACCCCCATCCGCCCCTACAGTTATAGATTACTAAATGTATTTTTCTCCGACCCACCCAGACACAGGTTATGGAGCAGGGCCCGCTGGCTATGGAGGTGGGGCGGCGTACGGAGGTGGGCCCTACATGGGACCCCCGGTCATGAATAACTACCACTACTGCCCGCCGGGACCCACAACCGCAGATCATTGTAAAGGTCAGTGTTCTTGTCTCACAACCAGTTAGATCCGCCAGGGGGCGAGAGATTCTGTCGGTTGTCTCCCCATGGACGTCACGTGGTCACGGTTTGTGGCTTAAGCTGAAGAGTGCATGGGTGTGTGTATGCTCTGTGTGTGTGTGTGTGTGTGCGCGCGCGCTCTTTGTCTGTGTGTGTGTCTATGTGTGTGTCTATGTGTATCTATGTCTGTGTGTGTGCTCTATGTGCATGTGTCTGTGTATGTGTGAGTGTGTGTGTGTGTCTATATGTATGTCTGTGTGTTTATGTGTATGTGTGCTCTATGCGTGTGTCTGTGTGTTTCTTAGTGTGTCTGTGTGTATGTGACTGTGTGTGTGTCTGAGGGGTGTGTCTACGTGAATATGTCTGTGTGTGTGTATCTGCATGTGTGTGTGTTTTTGTGTGTCCTTTTTGTGTGTCTTTGTTGTGTCTGTTTCTGTCTGTGGTTGTAAGTGTGTCTGTGGATGTGTGTGTCTGTGTGTATATGTCTGTGATGTGTCTGTATAAGTTGAAAGATATAGTTCCGAACTCTAGCTTCACAATATAACAAACACAGACGAAACGTGAACAATGCGGCTACGGAGCCTTCATCAGCACATACATAAATTAAACCACAGGAATCAATCACAAATCCCTTAAATGACGTATTCCAATGCAGCCAGGTTGATTTCTTGTCAGTGAAATCAAGAGACACGTTGGACCCAAGAATAAATAGCTGAGGAATGCCAGGGGCTATAATTCAAGAATTTTAGATCAAACTCTGTTGGCAGTTCAGGTCCCTGGGCGTTAACGTGCCCAGAGTGAAAATAAAGCGATTTTTAGGAAGCATGGAGACTGTCAGCTCTATGTGGTGGACACCTTGGAGATCCTCCTGGGAATTTAAGTGCAACTCTACTAGTTTCATGGCACTGTTCTGCACATCAGAAGGATATTGTCTGGTCCTGTCAGCCAGTCGTAGACAGTTTCACTGATGTGTTTCATGCAACATCTCTTGCAGTTGATGGCGTTAATAACATTGCGGCTCGTGCGTTGGAATACTTCACGTATGTGGAAGGTGGCATTGGAAAACTTCAATCTTGTCCCTAGAATTACATCTGGATGTCCTTGATGTTACGGTTGAGTCTGTAGGCCCCTAGAGGAATTTCAGAGAAAATCGTTCTGGTGGCAGCGTCATTATAATTTTGTTGGCACGGATGTTGTGAGGGTGGTAGGTAAATAGAGGATAGTTTATTGTGATGACGTTTAGACTGTGCTTGGTGAAAGGCGGCCGATAAGACATGTTCGGGATACCTTTGAAGCCGGAAGAAGTCAGGAGCTTGTGGCGACAGTCATCGTTCTCCTGGAATAGTCTGCAGAGGCGTAGAAGCTGTGAGAAAGTAATGTACCTGACACATGTTTATGTCTGTCTGTACCTGACACATGTTTATATCTGTTTGTACCTGGCACATGTTTTTGTCTGTTTTTACCTGACACATGTCCATGTCTGTTTGTACCTGACACATGTATATGTCTGTTTGTACCTGACACATGTTCATGTCTGTTTGTACCTGACACATGTTCATGTTTGTTTGTACCTGACACATGTTTATGTCTGTACCTGACACATGTTTATGTCTGTTTGTACCTGACACATGTTCATGTCTGTTTGTACCTGACACATGTTTATGTCTGTAGCTGGTTCCTTCTCTCCCACACAGATCAGAAGCTACAAGAGGCTTTGTACTTTCCAGATGGGACACCTCGTGAGTACAATAGCAGAAGGAGGAACGGACAAGCAGACAGACAGATAAACAAACGGACGAACAAACAGACTGAAAAACAAATGGACGAGCAGACAGACGGATAAACGAACGGACAAGCAGACAGACGGATAAACGAATGGACAAACAGACAGACTGATGGACTGACGGACGAGCAGACAGGCGGACGAGCAGACAGACAGATGGACGAACGAGCGAGCAGACAGGCAGATGGACCAACGGACGAGCGGACAGACAGATGGACAGACGGACGAGCGGACAGACAGATGGACAAACGGATGAGCGGACAGACAGATGGACGAACGGATGAGCGGACAGACAGATGGGCAGACAGACAGATGGACAAACGGACGAGCAGACAGACAGACGGGCGAGTGGATGAGCGGACAGATAGATGAACGAACGGACGAGCGGACAGACAGATGGACTGACGGACGAGCAGACAGGCCGACGAGCAGACAGACAGATGGACGAACGGGCGAGCAGACAGACAGATGGACGAAAGGACGAGCAGACAGACAAATGGACGAACGGGCGAGCAGACAGGCGGATGGACAAACGGACGAGCAGACAGACGGATGGACGAACTAACGAGCAGACAGACACATGGACGAACGGACGAGCAGACAGACGAATGGACGAACGGACGAGCGGACAGACACATGGACGAACGGACGAGCAGACAGACAGATGGACAAACGGACGAGCGGACAGACACATGGACGAACGGACGAGCAGACAGACAGATGGACAAACGGACGAGCGGACAGGCGGATGGATGAACGGACGAGCGGACAGGCAGATGGACGAACGGAAAAGCAGACAGACAGATGGACGAACGGACAAGCAGACAGACGGATGGACTGACAGACGAGCAGACAGACAGATGAACTGACAGACGAGCAGACAGACAGATGGACTGACAGACGAGCAGACAGACAGATGGACTGACAGACGAGCAGACAGACAGATGGACTGACAGACAAGCAGACAGACAGATGGACTGACAGACGAGCAGACAGGCGGATGGACGGGCTGGTTTATAGACCGACAGATTGACATGACATCCAGTCTGATAGAGAAAGAGAGAGAGAGAGAGAGAGAGAGAGAGAGAGAGAGAGAGAGAGAGAGAGAGAGAGAGAGAGAGAGAGATAGTTAAACTGAAGGAAAGATAGATGTGTGGATGCGTCGAATGAGAAACAGATTGACAAAGAGACGAATCAATATAAAGTTGGCTGAATGGAAAGATGATTGCAAGTCTCAGCATAAGACTAACCAATCGACAGATCAACAGACAAGCGCAGACATTAGAATATACACATAATGACAGACGACAGACAAGGACCATACAAATACGCAAGGAATGACATAGAGGTATGCTGACACACATAATGTGAAGGGGTGGTGGCAGGCGAACAAACATACTGTGGAGGTGTGGTGACAGGCGGAGAAACATAGTGTGAAGGTGTGGTGACAGGCGGAGAAACATAGTGTGGAGGGGTGGTGACAGGCGGATAAACATAGTGTGGAGGTGTGGTGACAGGCGGAAAAACATAGTGTGTAGGTGTGGTGACAGGCGGATAAACATAGTGTGGAGGGGTGGTGACAGGCGGACAAACATAGTGTGGAGGGATGGTGACAGGCGGACAAACATAGTGTGGATAGGTGGTGACAGGCGGACAAACATAGTGTGGAGGGGTGGTGACAGGCGGACAAACATAGTGTAGAGGGGTGGTTACAGGCGGACAAACATAGTGTGGAGGAGTGGTGACAGGCGGAGAAACATAGTGTGGAGGTGTGGTGACAGGCGGATAAACATAGTGTGGAGGGGTGGTGACAGGCGGACAAACATAGTGTGGAGGTGTGGTGACAGGCGGAGAAACATAGTGTGGAGGTGTGGTGACAGGCAGAGAAACATAGTGTGGAGGTGTGATGACAGGCGAACCAACATAATGTGGAGGTGTGGTGACAGGCGAACAAACATAGTGTGGAGGTGTGGTGACAGGCGAACAAACATAGTGTGGAGGGGTGGTGACAGACGGACAAACATAGTGTGGAGGTGTGGTGACAGGCGGATAAACATAGTGTGGAGGTGTGATGACAGGCGGAGAAACATAGCGTGGAGGTGTGGTGACAGGCGGAGAAACATAGTGTGGAGGTGTGGTGACAGGCGGAGAAACATAGTGTAGAGGTGTGGTGGCAGGCGAACAAACATACTGAAGAGGTGTGGTGACAGGCGGAGAAATATAGTGTAGAGGTGTGGTGACAGGCGGATAAACATAGTGTGGAGGGGTGGTGACAGGCGGACAAACATAGTGTGGAGGTGTGGTGACAGGCGGAGAAACATAGTGTGGAGGTGTGGTGACAGGCAGAGAAACATAGTGTGGAGGTGTGATGACAGGCGAACCAACATAATGTGGAGGTGTGGTGACAGGCGAACAAACAAAGCGTGGAGGGGTGGTGACAGGCGGACAAACATAGTGTGGAGGGGTGGTGACAGGCGGACAAACATAATGTGGAGGGATGGTGACAGGCGGACAAACATAGTGTGGAGAGGTGGTGACAGGCGGACAAACATAGTGTGGAGGGGTGGTGACAGGCGGACAAACATAGTGTGGAGGGGTGGTGACAGGCGGACAAACATAGTGTGGAGGGGTGGTGACAGGCGGACAAACATAGTGTGGAGGGGTGGTGACAGGCGGACAAACATAGTGTGGAGGGGTGGTGACAGGCGGACAAACATAGTGTGGAGGGGTGGTGACAGGCGGACAAACATAGTGTTGAGGGATGGTGACAGGCCGACAAACATAGTGTGGAGAGGTGGTGACAGGCGGACAAACATAGTGTGGAGGGGTGGTGACAGGCGGACAAACATAGTGTGGAGGGGTGGTGACAGGCGGACAAACATAGTGTGGAGGGATGGTGACAGGCGGACAAACATAGTGTGGAGGGGTGGTGACAGGCGGACAAACATAGTGTTTAGGAGTGGGAGCAGATGAACAAACATAGTTTGGAGGGGTGGGAGCAAGTGGGCAGAAACAAAATGGAGTGGTTGGGGCTATAGAAAATGGAAGAGTCACATAAATAATCAGTATCATACACAGACAGACGGGTGCAGACATGAACAGACCGACAGGTGCACACACAAACAGACCGACGGTGCCCACAAAAACTGACCGACGGGTGCACATATTAACAGACCGACGGTGCACACAAAAGCAGACCGACGGGTGCACACATAAACAGACCGACGGGTGCACACACAAACAGACCGACGGTGCCCACAAAAGCAGACCGACGGGTGCACACACAAACAGACCGACGGTGCCCACAAAAGCAGACCGACGGGTGCACACATAAACAGACCGACGGGTGCACACACAAACAGACCGACGGTGCCCACAAAAGCAGACTGACGGGTGCACACATAAACAGACCGACGGGTGCACACACAAACAGACCGACGGTGCCCACAAAAGCAGACCGACGGGTGCACACACAAACAGACCGACGGTGCCCACAAAAGCAGACCGACGGGTGCACACACAAATAGACCGACGTTGCACACACAAATGGACCAACGCGTGCACACACAAATAGACAGACGGGTGCATACAAAAGCAGACAGAGGGGTGCACCAAAACAAACAAACGAGTAAACACAAAGAGGATTCGCTACACAGAAAGACAAGCGCATGCAGGAATATTTACAGAACCGGTTCACACATTAAAATATGTCTGCACAAGTGTACAAGCATAGACACAGACAAACAATTATGATCGTCATTTTGATAGTAACAGGAGACAGACGGGTACACAGACAGAGAAATATCAATGTCCTTATCACAATAACAAGTGAGACAGACGAATACACAGACGGACAAAAATGATCTCATTATTATAGAAACAATTTCTATTACCAACCATCATCAGGTTACAACTGGGTGCCGCCACGCAATCCGTGGGACACAAGTCTGCCGGACACGGTTAAGGGTAGGTCACAGTGGCTTTTGTGCCTCGTCTGTGTGAATGTGTTTAGATGGTTGCCCGGCCACGTCTCCTAGGCACATCGAGGTGGTGTGTGTTCGAACCTTGTTGGTCAGTGTCTGTGTGAATGTGTGGAGATGGTTGCCCGGCCACGTTTCCCAGACAAATCGGGGTTGTGAGTGTTCGAACCTTGTTGGTCAGTGTCTGTGTGAATGTGTTAAGATGGTTGGTCGGCCACGTCTCACAGACACATCGGGGTGGCGTGTGTTCGAACCTTATTGGTCAGTGTCGTGGTAATATGAGGAGATGGTTGGTCGACCACGTTTCCCAGACACATCGGGTAGGTGTGTGTTCGAACCTCGACAGTTAGTGCCCGCGGTTTATTGGAAGTCCTAGCTAGTTCATTACTGACATTGATTAACGCTATACAACTGTGAAGAAACTTTCCCGAACCTCATGTCTGCTGTGTGTCTGTCTAGAAAACGGGCAGACTTTAACCGCCACATCCAAGTGGAGTGAAACTGGCCGACTGTAACCACCACATCAGAGTGGAGTGAAACTGGCAGACTGTAACCACCACATACAAGTAGAGATAAACTGGCAGATTGTAACCACCACATCCAAGTGGAGATAAACTGGCAGGCTGTAACATCCAAGTGGAGAGAAACTGGCAGACTGTAACCACCACATCCAAGTGAAGAGAAACTGGCAGACTGTAACCACCACATGCAAGTGGATAGAAACTGGCAGACTGTAAACCACATCCAAGTTGAGATAAACTGGCAGACTGTAACCACCACATTCAAGTGGAGACAAACTGGCAGACTGTAACCACCACATGCAAGTGGAGACAAACTGGATAGTTCCATATTTTGCAGCCACCGTAAATTGACAGTAACTTTGGAAACTAAAACAGACAGGAAGACTAAGTTTTCTGCAGGAATATTCTCATGTGTGTGTTTGTTTGTGTATGTGTAAAAGAGGGTGGGTTATCTATAGACCTCAGCTACTGGGTGAGGGGTTGGAAAGAGGGAGAGGGACCTCTGTACTGCGATCAGTTATCATTATTATTTGTTAATCAGCATCATGTATCTGTCACCACACGGTACGGTGACACACATGACTAGACACTGTTGTCGCCCAGACTTCTGCAGAAACCAGAAAGTCCAGGTTTAAGAGTTCACTCGCCAACCGTTTTTTGTCTGTCCTCAGAGCTCGCCAGGAGAATCCTCATGAATAAAGTCATGACCAGAGCCAGTAAGTATGTCTGTCACCACAGGTCACACACATAAATATCCCTATACGTCTGTCAGTCACCACAAGTCTTCTGTCTGTCACCCTAAATATGTCACAAGTGCAGACATTCACATCTGACAGCCAATCATCCTTATCTGTTATATGTCTGTAGTCACTCACCCATGTCTGCTGTCTGTCTACAGTCACTTAGTGGTGTCTGTCTGTAGTCACCCATCCGTGTTTGCTGTCTATCTAAAGTCACTCAGACGTGTCTGTTGTCTATCTACAGTAACTCAGACGTGTCTGTCTGCAGTCACTCATCCGTGCCTATCTGCAGTCACTCATCCGTGTCTGTTGTATGTCTACAGTCACTCATTCGTGCCTATCTGCAGTCACTCATCTGTGTCTGATGTCTATCTACAGTCACTCAGACATGTCTGTCTGCAGTCACTCATCCGTATCTGTTGCCTGTCTGCAGTCACTCATCCGTGTCTGTTGTCTGTCTACAGTCACTCAGTCGTGCCGGTGTGCAGTCACTCAGTCGTGCCTGTTGTCTATCTAGTCATTCAGAAGTGTCTGTTTGTAGTCACTCATCCGTGTCTGCTGTTTGTCTACAGTCACTCAGTCTTATCTGTCTGCAGTCACTCATCCGTATATGTTGGCTGTTTGCAGTCACTCAGTCGTGCCTGTCTACAGTCACTCTTTCGTGCCTATCTGCATTCACTCATCTGTGTCTGTTGTCTATCTACAGTCACTCACTGTCTGTTTTGTTCTGTCTGCAGTACCGAGTCTAATGTTTGTCTACAGTATTTCACTCATGTATGTTGTATGTCTGCAGTTTCTTACCCGTGTCTATTGCCTGTCTACAGATAAAACGCCTACAGCAAAAGAGTACGAGCTGATGTGTGAGTATCAATCTGACAGCAACAGACGAGAGCATCAGAAAAGACAGACACTTGAGAAATAGAAGGATTTATTGACACTGACTCGTGAAACAATATAATTAATCAGATGCACAGACATAAGATCTGACAGACATGCTCAGATCCGTGAGATTAGACAACTTTTAAGGCAAAGATGGAAACATTTAACTCTCTCTTTCCCTTTCTCTCTCTCAATCTTCTCCTTCTGTCTCTGTCTGTCTCTGTCTGTCTGTCTGTCTCTCTCTCCCTCCCTCTCTCTCTCTCTCTCTCCCTCCCTCTCTCTCTCTCTCTCTCTCTCTCTCTCTCTCTCTCTCTCTTCGTTTTCTAACCTCCACCCCTTCCCCCTTACATCTGTCTTGTTTCCCCTCTCTTTCCTTCCTTTCTTCAACAATGGCATGATGAACTGTTGACTGTTGGTTCAACAATAGCACCATGATCTCTTGCTGTTGGTTCAACAATAGCACGATGATCTCTTGACTGTTGGTTCAACAATAGCACGATGATCTCTTGACTGTTACTTGACCTTGAACAGATGCTTATCTGAATGTAATTTTTTTGTTGACAGCGTTGCTGGGTGACGCTAAGGAAATGGCAGCTGCAGGCTTCGGCCAGTTCGGCGGTAAGTTATCTCAGCATAGCAATAACGTTACCTCCCCAATGTATACAGTTTTCCCACGTCTGTTATTTTCACCATCTATTTTCGGCTATTTCTCCTAATCTAAAAAATTTACTTATCCATTTACACTAAATTGTCTCTCTAATGTGGACACAAATATGATGTTTTCCACTGAGCTATCTCCCCTAATGTGGACAAAAATATGATGTTTTCCACTGAGCTATCTCACCTAATTTATACAATGACAAATTTATTGACATTGAGTTGTCTTCCCCTGCTGTGATGTTCACGGCTGTGATAACATGATTAGAAACACGGACTTTTTTCTCCAGAAGACTCAATGAGTCTGCTCAGGAAGACAGAGATGGGCTGGGTCCGCAGACAGTGGGTGGTGTGTCTGACTCAATCAGTCTGCTCAGGAAGACAGAGATGGGCTGGGTCCGAAGACAGTGGGTGGTGTGTCTGACTCAATCAGTCTGCTCAGGAAGACAGAGATGGGCTGGGTCCGAAGACAGTGGGTGGTGTGTCTGACTCAATGAGTCTGCTCAGGAAGACAGAGATGGGCTGGGTCCGAAGACAGTGGGTGGTGTGTCTGACTCAATCAGTCTGCTCAGGAAGACAGAGATGGGCTGGGTCCGCAGACAGTGGGTGGTGTGTCTGACTCAATGAGTCTGCTCAGGAAGAAAGAGATGGGCTGGGTCCGCAGACAGTGGGTGGAGTTGCTGAGGCGGTCATCAGCGCTGACACAATTAGTTTCGGACCTGTGACAGGGCATGGAAATGAGCAAACTGATAGGCTTGCAGGTGAAGCTAGTGTGGAAAAGGAGGGTGGGGGGGGGGGGGGGGGGCGAGCCATGGACCAAGACGATAGTCTGAATGCTCTACGAGAAGTAAGATGTTTGTGAGAACCAAGTGATGACTGTGAATCTGCAACCATGACCAGACTGCAAGAACAAAATGTTAAACGAGGTGTCGCTAAACAAGAGCACTTAGCGGGTAGTCAAAGAAGAATAGGAAACCAATACAGAACTGGTGTCGGGAGCCGCTACACGCTGCGGGATTTACTGAGGAGGGGATCCCAGCATGTAGGGACTGAAAGGTTCGATGTGCAGTGAAGATAATCTGCTGACTAATTAAATAACTGTGGGGTTGAATTACCATATGTACTGGGTTATTTTACCCTAACTAGTGTGTTATTTTACCATTTACACCAGGTTATCTTACCCCGACTGGTGGTTTATATTACCATTTACACTGGGCTATCTTACCGCAACTGATGGATTAAATTATCAGTTATATTGAATGACATGTCTGCGGTAGGGATGCGGCATGGGTCTAGTTATTGTGTGCTTCCAAGAAGGGTGTTTAGAAGGGCTGAATGTAAAACCGGCCTGCGTGCCCAGTTTGTGACCCTTTAAAAAAAAAGTTTGTTCGTTCGTTTGCTCGTTCGTTCGTTCTCTCGCTCGCTCGCTCCCCCTCTCTCGGTCTCTCTCTCTCTCTCTCTCTCTCTCTCTCTCTCTCTCTCTCTCTCTCTCTCTCTCTCAAACACATATATATCCCATGATTTGTTTCTCTCTCTGCAGGTCGCTAGAGAAACAAGAGATCAAGGGAGAAAATAACTGCAGAGATCAAAGCAAAATATAAATGCAGTACCTGGTTGTCGAAATCAAATATACATTTAATAAGAAGACGAACTTTTAGCAAAACTGAAGAGATTCTTAAATAACAGATTAACGTCACTCAACAGTAGAACTTGTCATATTTAGGAGTTATGTCTCACTGGCATTGTAAACTATGTTCATTTTTAAACATTCATGGACAGTCTCACGTGCATATTGTCGTGGAAATGGTTTTACATAGACTAGTAACCTTCACAAGCGTCAATTTTGAGTGGATTCGTTCAAGCAGAAATGTTTGAGGCATCTGCTCGGGTCAACTTAATCACAGCCAAATGAGTTCATTTGTTAAACTATGATAAGTTAATTAATCGGCTGACGATAATGTGTTACATGGTATCATTTGTGATTGGTCTAAAAACTAATTGGCACGAGCTACTAGTTTTATTAGCTGCACACAAAATTGAAATTGAAATTTGGGAACAAGGACGGAAAGCAAACATTGACGGCCTTGTGGCTAGCTTGTGGGACATGAAAGGTTGCCGTATCTGTCCAGACATGACTGAGGGTCAGCACGTCCTGTGGCTTGTGGGAAGGCTGGAGATTAGCAGCTTAACTATAAAATCAGATCAGATTAATCACGTAGAAAACAATCGATTCTGTAAAGGTTTAGTCTGCCCAGGGAAATATGTGTATGGTAGGGATATTTGCGTCACTAGACTATCACTGGATTAGTTAGTTACTTAACGAATAATGCGTACTTAAATCTGGCATTTTGTGAAAAATAATCTCACTGTAACTGATTGGATTGTGGCTAACGGTATGTCTATTTGCTCATCGATGATTTCTAAATTGTAACAGCGCTGGTTAGAGAGCTCATCTCCCAGGCATGAAATGATGTTGGTGTGACTGACCTTCTCATAGCCACACACGCCCAAATACTAGTAGGATCTGCATTGTATGAAGTCTACTGTACACATTTTTGTTTTGTGTTAGAGCCAGCGGCTATCGCTACCACAGAGTTGCTTCTGTCAGCATCAATAAAGTTTACCGTGATTTTTATACTTAACCATTTCCTTTTGTTGTTCTTTTTGTTGGTGCTGGTGGTGGTAGTGATTGTGGTAGTGGTGATGTTTGTTTTCTTCTTCTTCATTTCTTCGTCTTTTTATTCTTCTTATTCTTCCTATTTTTCTTATTTTTCTGCTACTGCTGCTGCTGCTATTACCACTACTAATACTTCTACCATTATTACTACTGTTGCCATTACCGAAACCGCTTCAACTATTACTACACTATACTGCTGTGAACACTATTGCCACTACTAATACTACCGCTAACTACTACTACTACTACTATCAGCACCACTACTATCACCACTACTACAACTACTGCTACCACCCACTACTACTTTTTCTACCTGACAGACAGCGCACTGCTGCCCAGGCTTTGTGCTATGGGGAGGAAGAACTTCATCCCTGGCCGTAATTGGTATCGGAAACAAATCATGGGGAAGCAGTTATGAGTTATCAGTCCTTGCCGATGGGTGACATTTTCAAATGTCACGGATCAGCTAAAGCCGCCTGAAGCTGGGCAGCCCCCGGTCAGTAAAGGGTTGATTCGCCACAGCCTGTGTGCTTCAATGGGAGCTTGGAGTTAGGATCAAATCTGAATTGCTGTAAAAACCAATGCACTAGGCAATAAAAATGAACATGACTTCAAGCTACGGCTTGTCACGTGTCCATGTGTCCCGGATTTTCCACTGACCTTGAACATATCAGTGCTGTAAGAAAAACGGCTATCATTGTTGCCGAAAATAAATAAAAATAAACTGGACATAGATATTGCTGGCCTACATGAAACATGTCTACCAGAGGATGGGTCCATTAAAGAACAAAATGATACATTCTTCTGGGAGGGCAGAGGTTAGGGTGAAATCCGGAAGTATGGGGTGGGATTTGAAGTAAAAATTAACTCTTGGGATATGCCGAGAGTCCAGCTGGAGGAACTGACAGAATATTATCTCTACGATTGTCTACCTCAAGCGGTTTTATCACCCTTGTTATTGCATACGCACTCACTTTAACGTCAACGGAGGACGCAAAGGATTGCTTTTGTGAGCAACTAGATCATGCACTGAAAGCAATTCCACAATCTTGCAGCATCTGAATATGTGGTGATTTCAATGCTCAAAGAGGCGGAAGGGGGAGGGTGAGAGGTGTAAAGGGGTGAGAGGGGGAGTCGGACTCAAATCCATGGCTGGTTTGCCTTGGAAAACATACTGTTGGCCACATGAATGAAAACATACTGTTGGCCACATGAATGAAAACATACTGTTGGCCACATGAATGAAAACATACTGTTGGCCACATGAATGAAAACATACTGTTGGCTACATGAATGAAAACATACTGTTGGCCACATGAATGAAAACATACTGTTGGCCACATGAATGAAAACATACTGTTGGCCACATGAATGAAAACATACTGTTGGCCACATGAATGAAAACATACTGTTGGCCACATGAATGAAAACATACTGTTGGCCACATGAATGAAAACATACTGTTGGAAATGAATGAAAACATACTGTTGGTGACATGAATGAAAATGGGCATAAGCTGTTGGAGTTCTGCACTAGAAGTAATCTTTAGATCATAAACTCTATCTTCAAAAATAAAGACTGTCAGAAGGTGTCATGGAAACATTCAAGATCTGGCCACTGGCCCAGCTGGACCTGATTCTCTCAAGGAGGCAGCATTTAAACTGTGTATCGCTAACTCGCAGCTACCACAGTGATGACTGTGACACTGGCCCTTCCCTAGTTGCTGCAAGAGTTCGGGTGAAACCAAATGGACTTTTCACTTCAAGAAACAAATATATCCCTAGGTTAAATATTTACATAACTAAAGACCCTGAAAAGTGTTTTGAGTTTCAACAACAGCTTGAAGATGCTTTCAGTGATATTCAGAATAGCTCTACAGCAAGTCTAAAATGAGATGCAAAAAAAGAGACTTACAAAACAGCTGTATCAGTCTATGGGATTAGAGAACACAAAAGTAAGGATTGGTTTGAAGCAAATAGCTAGATACTTCAATCTTCAGTTAACAGAAACAAGTTCGTACTCAACAGAATACACACACACACACACACACACACACACACACAAATAGGAACACTCAACAATGTACTGAGAGAAGCTATAAATCATTTGCAAAAGGTAGCTAAAAGTGTATCGACTACTGGATCCAGTTATTTGAAAGCATTCAAAATGATAGCAGTAGTGGTAATGTTTGAGGCATGTGTAAGGGGATAAAGAAGGCCTACTATTTATAAAAAGTGCGCAACTAGGGAGTTTAAAAGGGGAGATTATTAATGACAAGAAGAAGCAGCTGGATAGATGGCTGGAACATTATCTGTAGCTGTATTCAGTTGATACTAAACTAACAGATGGTGCTTTTAATGACATGAAGACGCTACCAACTCTTCAATATCTAGACGCATTTCCAACAGTTGTAGAAGTTAGGAATGCTATTAACGAACTGGCTTCGAGTAAAGCCCCAATCAGAGAGGGAATACTTACTGACATCATCAGGACTGGGAAAGACATTCTAACCCCACACATCCATCAGCTAATAACAGTCTCATGGCAAGAGGGACAGGTTCCGCAAGATTTCAAAGACGCAAGCATCATATCTATGTACAAGAACAAGGGTGATCGAAGTGACTGCAGTAACTACAGGAGAATATCACTGCTGTGTACTGTTAGAAAAGTAATTGCGAGAATTGTTCTGCGAAGACTCCAGATCCTGGGGGATCGCGTTTACCCAGAGTCCCAGTGTGAAACGATCTACCACTGATATGATATTTTCATTACGAAGGTTGCAGGAAAAATGCTGCGAACAAAATCAACCACTGTATGTTGCTTTTATTGATCTTACCAAGGCATTAGATTTGGTTAGTCGAAAAGGTCCGTTTAACGCACTGAAGAAGATGGGTATCCACCTACCCTACTAGGTTTAGTCGACGGATCAACATCATAGCACAAGGGTAGTAACCCATAAGAGCTTCGTTCTACTTCTGACTCAAGCCTGAGTCCGAAGAATCTCAGCGCAGTGAACGAGCTCCCTAGCACCGTCGAATAACCTGAAATATTTGTGGGTAGATGTTTTACTCCACATGTTGGACTCGGGCCTGAGGAACATGCTCTCTGTAGCTCTTGGTCTGCGGCGGTGAGACAAGACACTTATACTGCCGACATTTCGTTGCGGGACCCGACACGGTTCTTAGCGCAGCGTGTGTTCTGGGGGACTTAGTCAAGAGATGGATTGGCTCTCTGGTTTCGTGTTGTAGCACTACATTTAGTAGTTAGACTGTGTTAGGTGACAATTTCATTGTGCATCCTCGCTCGCAGATTTTTGTTTGTAGGTCTCTGGAAGCAAATTCTTGGCTAAAATGATTAGCATGCGGTCTGTTGGAACATCTTGTTAATTGGTAATGTATTCTTACCTACGAAGGGCACAAGTTTTATGTTCAGGAAGATAAAGCCATGCTGAATGTGACGATTATCTTCCGTGTGTTTGATTGAGAATATCAAGGAAAGATATAAAACCGAACGAAAAATATACCTCAGCGATCTTCACCATATAACAAACACAAACAAAACGTGAACGTTGCGGCTATGGAGCCTTCATCAGCACATACATAGAATAGACAATACTACACAATATCACTTATCTTCGTATCTCGTGGCAGCAGGGTCGATGTCAAGACAATAGTCTGGCGAAACACGTTGGGCCTAGAAAATGGAAATCCGGGAATATACCAGGGACCGTCACTCGAGGATAAGATGAAACCCGGTCGGCAGTGCAGCCCCCTAGGGTTTAGGTGAAGTTGTGTTAACAGTTAAGTCTACTGGGCGCCAGAGTTCACAGGATGTAAATACAGCGGTGTTCAAGAGACTTGCAGACTCTGTCGCTGGAGTGGCTAGATTTAATGCTGTCACCTCCATGTCGAGGACACCTTGGTGGTCATATAAACTGAAATGCAGCGGTACTGTTTTCAGGGCGCCGTCCTCACGTCTAAAAGATGTTGTCTGAACCTGTCAGCCAGTCGTAAACATGTTTCACCGATGTATTTGATGCCGCATCTCTTACGGCTGAAATAGGTTTCACGCATGTGGAAGGTGACGTTCGAGAATTCCAGGCTGGTACCCTGAACCACAAATGGACAGGTCTTGCTTACAGGGCTATGTTAGGAGACGGTCCAAAAGTGAGCTCAGAGGCAGGACATAACCGACTCTTAACTAGAATGTCCTTGAGGTTACGGTAATGCCTGTAGGCCACTAGAGGAAGTTCAGAAAAAATCTTGCTGGGTGTAGGGTCAGCCCTAAGGATGGAGTGATGCTTGATGATGATATTCTTAGGGCGGATATTGTGAGGGTGGTAGGTGAGAATGAGAATGGGTCTGTTGTATTAACGTTTAGGCTTGGAAACGAGAGCCTCAGCACGATCAATAGACCGTGCTCGGTGAAAGGCAGCAGATAAGACATGTTCGGGATACCCTCGGAGCCGGAAGAAGTCAAATATTTCTAGAGCCTTTGTGTGAAACTCGTCATCCTCCTGGCATAATCTGCGGAGACGTAGAAGCTAGGAGAAAGGAATGAAGTCTTTGTAGCGAGAGGGTTGAGAGGACGTGTAAAGAAGTGAGCGTGCGAATCAGTAACATTATTGTACA